GTTTCCATTAATACCTGCTTTCTTGAAAGCCCTCCACAGGAGCACCGATTTAAAATTGCGTTTTCCAAAATCCTAAAGAGCGTTTCGTTTCGAGTAAAAACTAAATGAAACTTCAATTTTGTTTTGCTTTAATGATAACATTTCCAAATGTTTCAACCAAAATGATTAAAATTTTTTTATTAATGTGAAATTTATAGTTCGATGCCTTCTTGCTAATACATACATATCTCAAGAAAATGTCTCTGATAAAATCTCAGCTATCCAGTCTCTCTGTTGAAATTGTATTGCAATTCGAAAAATTTCTGCAAACGGAGAAACCTGATATATTCACGCTGCGCAGGACATTCAGAATATTTCTTTGAGAATATGCATATTATATTATTTATAAACGTTTTCCTTGCTTAAGACCAGCCAACAATTCCACACTTCATATATACGAGAACACCTTACCAGGGTTAAGTGTCCTGAGGTCATTTGCAAGTCTTATTTACCTTCCGCATTTCAATTGCACTCCACACCACTTACTCACCCACTCGCGCATGATTAACATTAACATACACTACAATTTACCGCTAAACTTGCATGTGTCTAGTACACACGCTTGTGGACGAATGTGTGTGTGTGTGCGTGTGGGTGTGTAGAACTATATGCCACAGAATATATTCTCAGTGCCATTGTCATTGTCAGTGCTATCACACGAGTGTCATTACTAACAACAAAAACAACAACAACAACAACAAGAAACTAACTCACAAACATATACCGGAGTGAAGCACCCACACCAAATTGGCAGTGAGCCCAAAATGTGGGTAAGAGGAAGAAAAGACAAATTTTTTAACAAACTCATCGGAGCTCAACGACAGACGGGCAGATGTGATAATGTAATATTTGTCAGCAACTATATTGCAGCAAAATGCATACACATACACATACACACACACATACATACATGCATGTACGCACTCTTACTCAAGTGTGTGCTTGCCTTAATGTATTACATATATAGCGTGTAGATGAGCGCTCTTTACCAAATCCGCTATCAGCAACAGACAGCAGCCAAGAAATGATTATGCTTGTAGGTAGGTAGTCTGTTGTTCCTCCATACATGCATACATACATGCATACATATATATATAAATACATAAGAAGTTTGCATCACAAATTGTTGTAGGTGAAGTATAGTACTGGTGACGCAAATAACTTAGCTTGCATAACAACAACAACAACAAAAAGCAAAAATGTTGTATATGTCAACAACACTGAGCTACTTGGTGGCAACATAACGTCACATAGCAGTCGCGTCATCAACATTTGTAGTGTGCTCAACGGTATGTCTGTCGCAGATTATACCGTTAAAGGTGAGGCACTAACTCATATATGTACATACATACACGTATGTACGAATCTTTAAATATATAACGTACAGCGGCTTTCTTAACTAGAAAAATATAATCTTATTTATTTAATTCATTAATATTTTAAATGCTGTACAGTTTTAATACAAATTTTATAAAAATCAATTCACACTGTGCACTTTAATAATAATTAAATTATTTACAAAAAAAAAATCATTTTGAAATTTTTTTCATTAATTAAAACTCTTATATATTTTAATTATTTATATTAATATAAAATTAATATAAAACTCATATTGTATTGATAATCATATTAGGCAATAGTTCAAAAAATTTTCTGAAATACAATAGAAGAAAGAATGCTAATACATATAAGCTTTTTATGGCAAAATTTTTATATAATATTTCGATAATAGTTTATACTAAGCTGCCTCCGAAAGGCTGATGAATGTTTTTTTTTTATGAAAAGCTTTATTTCGTGTCAGAAATACACTCGGAGGGTTTACAATTCCCTGCCATTTAGAAAATGTTCATTAAGGGACCTACCTACATATGTCTTATTTAGTAGCAAATTATTTGAAATAAAAAATGAAAAAAAAAAACAAATTAAAAATATTTTTCACAAAGTCTCCTAAAAATTAATAAAAAAAAATCCTCGAAATTATATTGCAAATATGGAAGTATTTGAAAATTCGAAAACACATAAAAAATAATTGTTAGATTATTTGTAGAAAAACTATTCCTTAGATAATTAGAAAAATTCAAAATGTATAATCGAAAATTATTTAAAAAATAAAATATTTAATTAAATTTGTTTTTTTTTGTAAAAAACTGAAAAAAAAATTATTGGTAAAAAATATACATGTGAGAGTATATACATTTTTACTTACATAATGAATGAGCAAAACATTTCATTTTTTCAAACTATCAGAAAAAAAGTATAAACTCATTGTAAATATTAAACAAAAAAATGTCTCACATGTCGTACATATAGTTTGGGCACCCCTGTCAAAAACACACCACATTTGCTGCGCTTGAACGCAATGAATTTCCTGCTTGCTTGCAAATAGTTTGTGGCACTCGAGTATTTATATGCAAATGAAGCTGCAGCAACGAAGTTTAGTTTGCTTCAACTTCAAAATCTGCTGTAGCTGCGTAAGACACACATACACACACACACACGCGCGCGCGTGTATGCGAGAAATGCTCACCTGCGTTGAGTGCACTTGTGGATGGTTGCTTTCTTAGTTAGTTCTATTTATATATGTACACATATATATATATATTTTTTTTTTTTGCTTTTGTTTATATATTTCTTCATTTTATCATCATCTTCTACCTGCACTTATTTCGTTAAATCCACCTTTGTCATCGTCGTCGCCGAAAACTTGATATCCTTTATGCACCAACGACTTGTCCTGTTTCTTGTCTTCACATTGCTATTGTTATTGTTTTATATTTGTTGTCTTCTGCTTGTTACATTTTGTAAAATTTTGTTCGTTAGCTTGTTGACGGATTACATGTCAGAGACTTGGAAAGTTCCTCCACTTAATACCTTTCCCATGATGCTTGTCGCTCCTACTGCTGCTTCCGCTTCTTCCTCTACTTTTTCTTTCCTTTGCAGTCATTGTCATTTCGAAATTGCATTAGAACTTGCATGCGGCTATTCTATTCTGCAGCGTTCACGATGGTTTCCTTTTTTACCTTGTTAGCGTTGGTTTATTTTGTTGCAAATTATATAAGCGAACGGAAATTCATACACAAATATTTTGTAAAATTTCGCATACAAAAATAAATTCAAAATATATATACACGTATCTGCGACTCAGGAAAGAGGTGACAATAAGTAGTGTGTTGACAACACATTTCTGCATACGTGCATACATATTTACATGGATGACATGAATTTCTCATATTTTTCTTAAACTTACAAATATATATGTTTGTTTTTGTTGCACATCTCCAGTTTTCACTGCAGTCAACTATTCTCAGTTGACTTTAATTAAGATTTTCTATTTTCTTCATTTATCCTTCACAAGTTTCAGCCAGTTACAAATGGTTTTACAGTTTGAGAAAACTGAAAAATAATCAAGAAGAAGCAGATTCTTGCTTGAATATGTGTGGTTTGCTGAACACTCAAGTTATTGGGAATAGATTGAATTGAGTTTTGAATTGGAAAAGAGAGTTTCATCAAAAAAAAAATTATAATGAAAAATAAGATATATATATAAAGGGTGATTTTTTTAGATATTATCTTTTTGGCAACACTGGTTTAAACAGCTGACGCACGATTGGTGTTTTTTATCACTGTCAAAGAACTTCAGTTTGGTCTATGAATCATGAATCGTATCAGAAAAGAACAACGCTTGCTAATTATTGAATTTTATTATAAAAATGGCTGCTCTGTCAAGAAAGTTATAAAAAAAATTTTTCAACGCCGAAGCTCATTTCTGGCTTAATGGGTGCGTAAATAATCAAAATTGTCGATTTTAGAGTGAAGATCAGCCAGAAGCATTGCAAGAGCTACCAATACATCCACAAAAAGTCACAGTTTGGAACGGTTTATGGGCTGGATGCGAATCGTAACGTAACTGTGAATGTTGAGCGCTACCGTGAGATGATATCAAACTTCTTTATGCCCAAAATGCAAGAGCTTGACATGGATGACATGTGGTTTCAACAAAACGGTGCCACATGCCACGCAGCACGCGTAACAATGGACTTATTGAGAGGCAAGTTCGGTGAACATTTTCTTTCACGTTCGAGACCGCCCTAGATCGTGCGATTTAACGCCCTTAGACTATTTTTAGTGGGGCAATGTTAAATCATGTGCGTCTATACAGACAAGCTCGCTTCGACTGACGCATTGGAGGACATCATTCTAGCATTTATTCCTGAAATACCGGCCAAAATGTTGGAAAGAGTATGCCAAAATCGGATTTAGCGGATAGACCATTTGAGGCGCAGTCACGCTCAACATTTGCATAATATAATCTTCAAACATAGACCGTACTATCGATTTATATAAAGATCTGATGCATTTTAGTGAATTTTTCGTTTTTTTTTTTTTTTTTTTGAAAAACTTTCCTATAGCTCTTAAAAAATCGTCCTTCATATATTGTTTATAAATATATATTTATTTTATTTATTGATAACACATTTAATTAAAAACTCGATGGTACTTCAATTTTGTCCTGCATCAAAAAATAATAACTTAAGGGCTTTGGAGGCTTCAAAAAATACCTTTTCTTCTTAAATCTATTTTGAAACTATCCAAGAGTATGTTTTCAAAATTTCAGTGGCAGATTCGTCATATTTTAGAAGCGAGAACAGTTTTAATTAATTGAATACAAATTCTATTTTAAATTGAAAGATGTCGACACATATGAACTGCTCTAACTATCAGCGAGGCAAAGACAGAGAAAGACGGTGACGACTGTTAAGTTGGGTCAAAATTGACATCTCTCCACGTTTTGTTTATTTAAATTATAAAAACACAAATATTTAGCTGTCAAGTTTTTTGAACTCCATGGTTCTTAATTTCTGTTAGTGGGCATACTTATTCGCATATATATTCTCATAAGGAATTAAAAATTTCCTATTAATTGCATAATTCAATATAATTTTTCTGCTTCCATTTTTCAGGTAAGTGCTTTGACCGCCTACTTATTCAGATATCCGTATTTGTACGTGATGTGCAAGCTTTTATGTAAGTACTAAAGTACAATATAATTATTTAACTACTTTTAATAATTTTATAATTGCGAGTTGAGATTCGAACTTCGAAAGAACTTCATTATGTAAAATTTAATACTATTTTTCAATTAATTTTACACTGACAATTCGCTCCATTAAAAAAATATTAAGTAAAAATATAAATCCAAATTTACTTCATTTAAATAGAATTTCGCTTAAAAAATTATTTAAGTTCAAAAAATAGTGAATTGGAATTAATAATAGTATATACCGTAAATTTCTTTCCAAAAATGCGGAACACAATTTTTTTTATTATTTATTATAATTTTAATTATATTTAGAAAAACCGTCAGCTTTTGAAAATATTAAAAAAAAAAGTTTTATTTAGAGTAATAAAACAAGTAACTTATATTTACAAAATAAAATATAATAACGTGGGCACAAAAATAAGATTCCAAATGAATATGATATTATTGCGCTTTACTTTAATTTTATTTTGTTTTGTTGAAAAATATTTTTTATTTACAAAATAATTTTGTCCGTTTTTTGTGTGCTCAAAAAAATGTTGCAACCGAGGAAAAATCCAGCAGTCGCAAAGTGTAAGGTCTGGAGAATATGGCGGGGGGAGGGCTAAGGCATCCTCTTCTTCCGTTTCCAGGCAGTTTTTAATCATTACTGCCACGTTCCATATGTAATTTGGCATACACCGAATATTTTTATTGGCTTTAAGTAACGCCGAAACTCGAAGAGAATCACATGGCGAATTTCTGCTTGCGTTGGCGGTGGAATTTCGTCTGGTTAATCCTCAGCTGAACTGCGTTTTCTCGTCTAAACTTTAAATTTAATTTAAAAGGAAGACTAATAAAAAAATAAAAAAACAAATTGAAAGTCACCAACTGACCGCACTTTTGTTAATCCCCTCGTACGTTGGGTGTAGTCGATAATTTTTCGCATCAATGGCCTTACCCAGTTTTAGCATTCTTCGTCTTCAAACTTCTTTTGATTGACCATAACGTTCTTTGTCTTAGACGACAAAATCACAGTTTAGAAGCTCCGAAGCCACACTCTGTAAGCACTGTCGGCCGGCGCCGATTCACCATAAACCGGCACAAGCGTTCAACGGGCTTCGGATGCACTTCTCTTCCAATTATAATAGGAAACCAAGATATGCCGCAAATGCTGCTTATTTATTAAAAGTCCTTATATTCTCTTAGAGGCAAAATACATTATTGCTGATAGATGTGAAACCTTTTCAATTTGCCGCTGGAGCCAACTTTTGAAAACGGACCGAAATAATTTGAATCCTCAATATATATTTTTTATTCCAAAAATTTTATCAAATGCAGTAGTCTGTTTTAGTGGCTTCGGCAATGCATTCTTTTCTTAAATATATTCTAAAACTATCCGCCATATTTTGAAAGCTAGTTTAGGTGGCCGAACGTAGAACAGGTTCGATTGCTCGGGCAGAACTTTGAAGCGCGTTTTCTCGAGTTCACATTTCTACTAGTCTTAGAGAATGGAGACGGTGATAGTAAAAAGAAAAGTAGTCGATCAAAAAAAAAATCAAAGTAATCTAACTTCAGTATTGAATAATCATCTATTTGAACTAAAAAAAAAAAGTTCTGTTATATAAACATTTTTTTTTGCAATTTCATGTATTTTTTTAGTGTATTTTTCTACAAACTTTTTTGGAAATTTTTAACCTTTTTTGGTAGTTCATATAAAAGAGACGCTCTTGAAAATTAAACAAAAATTGGGTTCGCCGATTTCAGGTGCATCACCGACCTCCAATATCGCCACCACAGCAGACGCTTCAGAAAACTAATCAACACATTGGAAAATTCCAACGATATTAATCATTGTTTATTGAAGCTTAAATATATTATATTATTGTCTTTCGTTCACCGTCGAAATTTCTGCTTCTTTGAAAAAAATTGCTGATTAAACGATTTATTAGCGTTCTAAAGCTGACTAAATTTCTATGAAATAAGTTTGCTGTTAAATTAGAAATTATGATTAATGAGATTTTTGATTAATTTAAACTGTTTTTTACAGTAAATTAGCTTTAAAATATACAAGAAATACGTATTGTGTATACGTAATTTTTATAGAAAATGTAATAAAAAGTGAGAGCTTTGAAAATGTCTCAAAAATTTCACATGCAAAGAGGCTCAATTTCAACTCATTTTGGCGCGCTCCAGAGTGCTCAGCGCCACCAGGCCTCACGTACATGTATGTGATGATGTAAAGGCAGCTTCCAGAGGATATAAAATACTATATATACATATATATATGAATGTGTGTGCGATTGCTACCAAATGAATAAGCAAAAAGGCATTAAATCCGGAATACAAAGGAGTAAAAATAACGAAATCATAGTAAATATACAAGAAAATTTAACTACTCACCAACATACTCGAACATAAATACATATGCGAGTAGTAAGTAATTTTTGTGACTTGAATGCAACTGCAACAAAATACAATGCAATACAGTCTTGAGCGTTCGCTCGCTCGCTCACTCGCTCGCCATCCCCTCTCCATTGATGGCGATAAGAATGGGTGCATTGAAATTGTTCGCTGACGTTAGGGGTTGTCAAATGTTGAATGTCGCACAATAATTATGGCTCGAGGATATGCTGCGCGCAATTGCTTTCGGTATATTGCCAGCAATTCCATGACTCGATACAATGCATAAGCAATCACCTATGAATGTGGCGCTGAAATGCATTTACAATACACAAACATACATACAGATACACCCTTGTGCATTACACCCTATCGCGTTTGGTCATTGAATGCCTCGAATGTCTCCTCGCTAACACCTCCTTGTATGTATGTATGTATGTATGTATTTGTCAAAAGGAAAAAAAAACAAATATTGCATTGCAATTTCAATTCATTTGACTGCATCTGCGCTTATTGTGCATGCATACATGTGTACTAGCTGTGTGTATGCGCTCCAGAATGGGATTACCAATTCACTTGAGTACGCGACCCTAATAATCGTTTGGCTTACATATCGAGGGAGCAGCTGTCCAGCCCTACAAAATAAGGGGAATATTTCAAATGCTTGCATTTTCCGCTGTATTTTTCTTATCGTCCACCCCTGGTTATTCTGTAGCTGGCGTGCAACACGTTACTACTATTGGGATTTTATGCATGATTTACGCAGCATCATCCTGTGTCTCCATGCACACATTTACACGCACTTATATAACATACATATGAGGGCATGCTTATGCAATCATTCATACATTGCTCCCACACATATACATATTTACTATGTATATATTATATGTGTTTCACATATGGCAAAATTGGTTGCGTATATCATTTATTGTTCACTACTTCCTTTACACACTCACAATACTTAACATGAGACGATATGCATATGCTGCAGTTGCATAAGTGCACTTTTAACAGCTGGTTTCGTTTACAAAGTTGTTGCGTAATGTTGCATACAATTTCCCATGTTGCACTTATACGCATAAGTAATGTGGTGCAATATGTTATTGCTTTCGCCAAACGTTTGTAAGCTATCGATGATTGCTGGTTTTATCATTTCATTGAGCATGTCCTTTTTGCACTTTGTTGCACGTTCTTTTTACTATGGTGTAAGAACTTAAGGACTTAAAGCAGATTATTTGGCGTATGGCAAGCGGCTATTACCATAACAGTATTAATAATAAAAATAGTCATAATAATAATAATAAAAATTAATAATAATAATAAAGCAGAAATTAAAATAAAAATAGTGGTAAAAAATGGTACATATAATTATTATAATTGTTATTTTAATATAAAAATAAAAAATAATATTAATAATAATGTTTAATAATAACAATAAAAGCAATATTAGTGTAAAAAAAACTGACTAAAATTAATTTAGGGAATTTTGCCCTCTTTTGATGTTCATTATCCCAAATGTAGGCAACATTGATGCCGCGTATCAAAAATAAATGGTTTAATAAAAGGTTGCCTACAATCAGGCATTAAGAAAAAATAAATTACCCAAAACAGAAACCCGGATTTTTTTAAACTAAATTAATATCAAATATTTGCAATTCCAATTTTGGAGTGTGACTTTTGCTCATGAATGGTAAAAATTTCTTGTTCAATAAATAATAATAAAATAATTTCAAAAAATATAAAAAGGGAAATATGTTTGCTTCAAATATTTAAAGTAAATTTCTTCGCACTTAATTCGACTTTACAATTTCCAGTTTCACTGCACAGTCGCTCAGGAAATTTTGAAAAATATTTGTATGCAATTCAATTGTTTTCTTAAATTTTAGCTAATATTAAATTTTTGCCAAACAAAAAAATATTTCCTTCTTTTAACATTTATTATGCTATGAATACTATTAGAGTATTCTCTTTCTGTGAGAACCTTGCGGCTTCAAAAGCTTTTCAGCCTGAATGTAGGCAATGCAAAATAAGTTAAACTCATTTTTTCACAATTTTCTGCACCACATAGGAAAAAAATATTGAACAATTGCTGTTAGTAATTATAAAAATAAAAATACAAATTCAAAAACATATCAGTTTTAATTTAATTTAGGTTATATGATAATTATACCCATATTGCTTTCACTGGAAAATAAAAATAAAATTCCAGAAATCCATGCACAACGATTGCCAATTAAAAGCATACTTAAATTAAAAAGGAATAAAAATAGAAAGGAAATAACTTTGAACAAAAGATATTAAATTACTGACTCACGCGAAATTAAGCAGCAAATCCACGGTGACAATTTAGAATTTTTTCATAGGAGAAAAATGTGAAAAAATTTAAAAAATAATAATAAGAGAAAATCTAATGGATGTTAACTGCTAAAACAATAGTGGCAATCGACTGCGAAACGTTTTCACTACCCTAAGCTGAGCGCTGGCGGATATGTGGTTGCAACGAAGCGCTGCATTCTTACTTCCTTTTTCATTTCATTTCATTTCTGGTTTGTTTTGTTTTCATCAGCGAAAAATCTTCAATGAAAAGTCGAAAACTTATAAA